TTGAACGCTTGGCTACGCTATGCGCCCCTTTCTTGCTCCAAGTCAAGCCACCCGTCACTCCCCCAGGCCATTGTCGCTCTGAATACCACCAAGTCGAGCCCTGTCTATACCGCCGGCCAGGAACTACAGAAGGGTCTACAAGGCATCTTCTTGAAACAGGTCCAGGTCTCGGAACAGCCGACGAAGGGCCCATCAGTCGTCGTTGGATCGCTTGCCCAGTACACCCAGGCCACCGGTAACAAGGACGTCCCTGCTCTTGAAGAGGATGGCTACTGGCTCAACATAAAGGGCCACTCCGTCCAGATCGTCGGACACAATGAGCGCGGCGCTTTGTATGGTGCCTTCGAGTACCTCTCGATGCTGGCTCGGGGGAACTTCTCTGACGTGACCAAAGTCAGCAACCCCAGCGCGCCGATACGATGGACCAACGAGTGGGACAACATGGACGGAAGCATCGAGCGAGGATACGCAGGACCCTCCATCTTCTTTGCCAACGGCGGCATCGTAGAGGACTTGACACGTGTGTCGCAGTACGCCCGTCTCTTGGCCTCCATCGGCATCAACGGTGTCATTGTCAACAACGTCAACGCCAACCAGACACTTCTCGCTCCTCAGAATATTAAGGGGCTCGGCAGAATAGCCGATGCCATGAGGCCGTACGGCGTCAACATTGGCATCTCCCTCAACTTTGCCTCTCCACAAACGTTCGGCGGTCTCAAGACCTTCGACCCGCTTGACGCTTCCGTGATCTCCTTCTGGAACAACATTACCACCCAGATCTATCAACAAGTGCCCGACTTTGCCGGTTACTTAGTTAAAGCGAACTCCGAAGGTCAACCGGGACCGATCACCTACAACCGCACCCTAGCCGACGGTGCGAACCTTTTCGCCAACGCCATCAAGCCACATGGCGGCATCGTCATGTTCCGGGCCTTCGTGTATGACCAACTTAACGAGTCTAACTGGCGCTCAGACCGCGCCGACGCAGCAGTGGACTACTTCAAGCCCCTCGACGGCAAGTTCGACGACAACGTGGTAGTCCAGATCAAGTACGGCCCCATCGACTTCCAAGTCCGCGAGCCCGCGTCCCCGCTTTTCGCCAACATCCCCAACACCAACACCGCCATTGAGCTCCAAATCACCCAAGAATATCTCGGCCAGCAATGCCACTTAGTTTACCTCCCGCCCCTCTGGAAGACCGTGCTCGACTTCGACATGCAAGTCTCCAACCAGCCCTCGCTCGTGCGCGACATCGTCTCCGGCGAGCGCTTCAAGCGACCCCTAGGCGGCTACGCCGGTGTCGTCAACGTAGGCACCAACTCCACGTGGCTCGGTAGCCATCTCTCCATGTCGAACCTCTACGCCTACGGCCGTCTAGCCTGGGATCCCACATCCGACCCACAGGCCATCCTCGAGGCCTGGACCCGCCTCACGTTCGGCCAGTCTCCAGCCGTGCTGTCAACCATCACGAGCATGTCCATGGCCTCCTGGCCCGCCTACGAGAACTACACCGGCAACCTCGGCGTGCAGACGCTAACCGACATCCTCTACACGCACTTCGGCCCCAACCCGCAGAGCATGGACAACAACGGCTGGGGACAATGGACGCGCGCCGACAAAAACGGGATAGGCATGGACCGCACCGTGTCCAACGGCACCGGCTTCGCCGGCCAATACCCGCCCGCCGTAGCCGCGCAGTACGAATCCCTCGACACGACGCCCGACAACCTCCTCCTCTGGTTCCACCACGTCCCCTACACCCACCCCCTCAAAGAAGGCAAGACGGTAATCCAGCACTTCTACGACGCGCACTACGCCGGCGCGGCCACAGCCCAGACCTTCCCGACCATCTGGGAGGGGCTGAAGGGTAAGATCGACGACCAGCGCTACGAGGAGACGCTCTTCCGCCTGCGGTACCAGGCCGGGCACTCCCTCGTCTGGCGCGACGCCATCAACGATTTCTACCACAACGTCTCGGGCATCCCCGACGCAGCTGGTCGCGTCGGCCACCACCCGTGGCGGATCGAGGCGGAGAGCATGGCGATGGAGGGGTACAAGGTCGTCGACGTCACGCCGTTCGAGATGGCGAGCAACTTCAGGGCCGCCGTGACCAGTTCCAACACCACCGCCGGCACGCTTTCCGCCACGGTCCCGTCTGACAGCGGGAGGTACGACCTGGCGGTGAATTACTACGACGTCATCGGGGGCAGGGCGAAGTGGGAGGTTTTTCTGGGGGATAGGCTTGTGGGGAGCTGGAGGGGGGATAATGAGGATAAGCTGGGACATGCGCCGTCGACGATGCTGGATGGGCACTCGGCTACGAGGGTTACGTTTGGTGGCGTGGAGGTGAAGAAGGGGGATGTGCTGAAGATTGTAGGCAGTCCTGATGGGATAGAGGCGGCGCCGGTGGATTATGTTAGTTTCTTGCCTGAGGGGATCGTTGACTAGACACAGGTGTTGGAAACTTATGACTATGATAATAAGTATAATCTATCTTTCTCTGCAAAGCCCCATGCCGAATCTTAGAAGTGCACTGCTTGTCACTCGGTATCCATCCCCATCTCTTGACAGAAACAGTACAACATGTACAGGCCCTAAAAGCGAGCAATGAACTTTCAAAAAAAACAAAAAAGAGAAAAAAATGTGCCCAATCTATCAGCATCTCTCACCCACAGGCGATGCCACACGGGACAATCATCAAGGTGAAAGACTTCCTATCAAGGGTAATCGATACACGATAATCTCCAGAGTCTCTATCCTCCGAAGAGGATCTAGCAACTCGACATCGTCGGGAGATCTCGATGACGGTCGTGGCGGACTCTGGGTTCTTTTTTCTTAGGGGAAAAAAGAGAAGAAGAAAGAGGAAAGGAAAGATTTGGTGAGGAGGAGTTTTATAGAGAATTTGTGGAGAGGCTGGCTCCAAGTTGGGGGTTAGGGTTGGACAAGGTGAACTGTTCCAGGCTGCAGCTGGAGGTTCGAATTGGTTAAAGTGGAACCGGTCATGTGACGGCCCCTCCATCTCACCTTACGTGTAAGTGAAGCACATATTAAAACAACTTGCAACGCACCTCTTGATCTTCCTTTCCATCCAGCTACCTTATCTTTCTTCAACTCTTTTTTACATATCTGCTGCATGTGGCCTTTCGTTCAAGATGGCGGCGAGTCCCGGCCGTTCTCAACTCGAGCGACTGCCAAACGAACTCCTCCACAATATTGGGTCAGAGTGCGGTATCAAACATCTTACCAGTCTTATTCGGTGCAACAAAGATCTCTACGACAGGTTATACCCGACCCTGATAAAGAGCGAAGTCAAGTTCAACCATGGCAGGGCTGCTCTCTGGGCCGTCAACCACGGTCGCTTAGGTCTGTTACGAAGTCTCCATCAGCATGGCCTCTCCATCACCCTGCATTGGGGGAGGGAGCGTAAAGCCGGATGGATCGCGGACCACGATATTCTAGGTAACTGCAACAGAAAGGACTTCATTCCGGATCCAATGGGCAAGATGCCCATCAGTTTCTCCCTTCTACATATCGCCTGCTCGATGGGCCTCGACCACATCATTTCCTGGCTGCTCGATTACGACGCCGTCATCAACGCCGCGAGTAGCGGCGTGAATTCATGCGCCGGGACTGGCCACCGGTACAAATTCCCTATCCGGGAGCCGATAGCCTGGACGCCGCTGGAGATGGCCGTTTGTCGGAGGCGAACCTCCTCCGTGGAGCTGTTGCTCGAACGGGCTACGGCTGAGCATGGTCGGACGGCTGTTGATGGACTTGGATGCCAGGCGCTGCACACTGCCGTGCACCACGGCCATCACGAAGTGGTTGACGTACTTCTTCAGTCAGGCCGCTACGACGTCAATGCTCCCAATGCTCACAATGAGCTCCCCGTCAATTTGCGCGGTCCTCGGTACCGTGTACACCTACCGACTCTTCGTGTCCTGCTACAGGCGAAGCCCGATTTGACAATTGAGTCTTTTTGCGAGAAGAGCATATTCTTCAGGACGAGGCGAGTGCCTGCGTTGCCGCTCCATGATGCACTCGCGGCGGGCGAGTACGAAGCGGCGCTGCTCCTACTGGAGGCTGGCGCCGATGCCACGGCTCTGTGCGGAGGCTTATATCCGCTTCACTGCGCTTTCCTCTCCGGCAAAGCCGACGAGAAGAAGGACGAGCTCTCCAGGCTACGCTTGCTCATGGCGCTCCTTGCACGAGGGGCAGATCCAAACGCGCGATCAAGCCTCGACAACTTCACCGGCGTCACCCCGCTTATGCTGGCGGCATGGTATGCCCCGTATCCCGAGATTATCAAGCTGTTTCTCAAGCACGGCGCCGATGTCAATTCTGTCGATGAATAGGGACAGAACGCCCTCCAATGGGCCGTAGCCCCGTATCTCGTCCTCGACGTCGTCCCTGGCATACCAGACATGGACGACCGTGGCTTCCTCGCCTCCATCAAGATTGGCCGTGCTGTGCGACTGCTGCTTAAAAATGGGTGCAGCGTAGGCGAAAAGAATGGGGAAGGGCGCTGCGCGCTTCAGCATTTCGCTGAGCATGACAAGGAAGCGAGAGCAATCGAACATGTTCTCGCCCATCATCCGGAAGAGTGTGCTGCTGCCGGCTGCCTCGATGAGGCACTAAGAATAAGTCTTATTGCCGGATGCTTCGACAATGCCTACTGGCTGACCGACGCCGGCACGTCGCCGTCGGAGGAGATGGTGCTCGAAGCGATGGGTGTTCTTGCAGAGGAGGCCAAAGCTACTAGAGAACCGACGTACATGGACGTTCATTATGTCCTGGATGACTGCAAGGCATTCGCCGAGTATGCGGGCATATTCGGCAAGGACCTGCAGGCGTGCATTGCCAACTACGAGAAGGCGTGCCCTTGAGTCGAGGAGAACTACCCCCTGAATCTGACGTTTCCAAATTTCGGGAGGACCTGACAAAAGGGCAAAACGGGACAAAAAAAGAAAAGGAGGACAGGAAAAAACCGTCGAAAACAATGCGCCAGCCGCGAATCGAACGCGGGGCCCATCGAGACAGTAGCCGAGTCATGGAGACTCGGATAGTGATGGCAACGATGGATTTTACCACTAAACCACTGGCGCGGTGGATGTCTCATGTCGAACTTGCGCGCGATTTCTTCCTCATCCATCTACGTCTGCCCGGTCACCCACAGCAGCAGAACTCGAGTCATCTACACCCGCCAAGAGGAACAAAAACAAACGAACAGCCCGGAGACCGAGTGTCTGGAGAAGCTGGGAGTCGAACCCAGTACCTCGTGCATGAACATGTTACATCCAGAATGGATGGTATGCTAAGCACGCGCTCTACCAGATGAGCTACATCCCCTAGTATGATGAAGGAAAGGAAACCCCGTGGAGGAGCAGGGAGTCGAACCCTGTGCCTCCTGCAAGTGCATGATTGGTGAGGACCAGCTTTTTGGAGGGCTGGAGATCGGAATGCAAAGCAGGCGCTCTACCAGATGAGCTACACCCCCTGAGTCAGGATGGTTTTGATGAGGATTCCGGCAGAGGGAGGGGGTCTATGTGCGAGAGACAGATAGAGGGAGGTGGATTGTGAGATATTGCGGACGGGGCCATGACTCGGCGACGAGGCCGGGGCGGCCCCTTAATAATACAAGGGGGGATGTCTAATGTAATCGTGTCTCATTGCCGTACAGCGTGTATCTCCTCAGTCCATGTTTACATCCAACTAACATATCAATTATAGCCCGCAGTTGCAGTTTACTCCGCAACCTTCAACTCACTCAACCCACCGTCGCAGCCGACATGCCAGAAAACGGACACACCCCCTCCGTCCTCGTAGGCGCCGTACACCCCCCATCATCCCCCGACCGTCTCCTCTTCGGCGTCGTCTCCCCTCCCTCTCCGTCACTCTTCCCCCCTTCCCCCGCGTCTCCCTCAAGCCCATCCTCCTTCAGCACCTTCTTCCCATGCAACCACCCCTCCTTCTCAATAATCCCCCCATAATCCACCCCATCCGTAAACTCCTCCCCATCGTTCACATACCACTTGGCAAAAAGATCATTCTGTATCCAAATCACCTTCCCCAGCGCCTTCACGACACTAATCTTCCTCTCCAACCTAATCTTAGGGTGACTCAATATCGCCTCCGTCAGCACATCCTGGATGACCGCCAGCGCAGCCCCAATGTGCACATATTCCACATGCAGCGGGTGCGTCCGTCCCAAACCGACGTGCATCATGCCCACCTTATCGAGGTACTCCCAGAACTCGAGTTCTCTTGGGTCGCTGCACAGTTTGACGAGGTAGGCGCGGAGAAATAACTTGCGGTGGTGGATTTGCGGAGAGTCCTCCGTGGGTAGGGTGTCCATGGGCCCCTCGTAGGAGGTCGAGCGGGTCTGGAAGGCGCGGGCGGTTATGTCGTACTGGAGGAGCTTTTTGTAGAGGATGTTCACCACGGCGGGGATGAGGGCTTTGATGTATTTTGAGCCGTAGGTTAGGGCTTCTATGTCTTCTACACGGGGCCTGTTAGTAAGGGGGGGGGGGGGGTGAAGAGGAGAGGGGAGGAACGGACTGCTGCTGAAGTCGAGAAAGGAGTGGAGGTAGCGTATCCGCGCTTCGAGGTTGGTGTACAGCTCTTTGCGGTCTATGTGCTGCATTTCTCTTTGTGAGGAGGACATGGTTGCGGCTGTGGTCGTGGTGGTGCTAGATTGTGGACTATAGGGTAGGTAGGCTCAAGGAGGACTGAATGAACACCAGAAACATTTCCTGTTTAGAAAAATATCTGGGGAAGACATTGTATTTGAACAATTCCAACTCCTACTAGACCTAGAGGAATGGGTATTTCGAAACTATTTCGGCACGCGACACTTCGACGCGAGTGATGAGAAAAGCTTCTTGTGGTCTGAGGATGATCAACAGGCTACCAATCACCACGCCGGGAGCTCCCGGGCGTCACAGCACATCACGCCATGTATCGTGCAGTCGGCCCACTGCGGAAGCTTTTGATGAGAGCGGCAGAGCTGGGGAACAACCTGGAAGTTAAACAATAAGATGACAAGCCTTGGGAGACAGCTTTTGATATAATGTTAGCGGCAAGGGCAGGACTTGGCTTTATGATGGCATGATGAAATGCACGAAATGCCCGTTGGAGAAGCGCTGGCTGGAGAGAATGTTCCGGGTTAATGCGGGCGGAGTTTCTTGCTGAACTGTTCCTAACATCCCTTCGGGTGAGTACCAGTCACTTTTCAAGACTCTAGGTGTCCAGCAAACTAGTCGACGGCTTGTCAGAGACAGCTAACTGGATGTACTGTTTGCGAGTTGTATAGAAACACACAACATGGCGATGTTTGCGTGGTGTCGACGGGAAGGAGTGGAACAAATTGGCGGACCCACATCGCCGAGAGCGGCCCCGAAATTTTTGGGTTTGCGGGCCGCATTTGACGACGAGCCATCCATCTCTCACGTACAACTCCGCCTATTGACGCTTGAACCATTCTCATGACTTTTTTCGGAAGACCATAACAAACACCTTTCCACTCATCCATTCCCAAGCTCTGTGCCATATACCTAAGATGTCCCCCACCTGCAAAATAGCAGTCCTAGCCTCAGGCAACGGCTCCAACTTCCAAGCCCTCATCGACGCCGTCGGCGCCGGCACCATCCCCTCCTCCCAGATCGTCCGGCTGTACGTCAACCGGTCGAAAGCCTTCGCCACCACGCGCGCGGAAAAGGCGGGTATACCGTGGGAGTACTTCAACCTCATCAGCAACGGGTTCCAGGCGAAGGGGGAGAAGGACCCCGTCAAACTGCAAGAGGCGCGGGATGCCTATGATGCTGCGCTTGCGGAGAGGGTACTGGGAGGAGACGAAAAGCCGGATCTGGTCGTGCTGGCGGGGTGGATGTATGTTTTCGGAACGGCGTTTTTGGATCCGTTGGAGAGGGAGGGGGTGAGGATTATTAATTTGCATCCTGCGCTGCCTGGTAAGTGGTGACGATTAAAAGATGGGGAGGGAAAGGGGATGTGATGTGGCTAACGGGAGATTAGGTGCGTATGATGGTGCCCACGCCATCGAGAGGGCGTACAACGACTTCAAGGAGGGTAAGCTGAAGGATGATATGACGGGCATCATGGTGCACAATGTCATCAGCCAGGTGGACAGGGGCGAGCCGATTTTGGTGAGGGAGATCAAGTGCCGGCCCGACGAGGCGCTGGAGCAGCTGGAGACGAGGATACATAGCTATGAGCACGAGCTGATCGTCGAGGCCACGGCCAAGGTGGCGAGGGAGATTGTGGCCAGGAAGAGCGCGGCGTAGCTGCTGGAAGATATCTCCGGCAGTGGGGTGGGGAGGCACTCTGAAGAGGGATATCTGTTCTGAGCGAGGTGTTGCCTAGAGTAGACAATATCACCTAGGGAAGTCCTTAATATCTCCGCTGCTTTCCAACTCGACTCGGGCATTGTGATCATTTATCCTGGGAATGCAATATGCGGAAGAGAAGTCAAGGTATGAAAATGACATTCTATTCTAAATCCAAACTAGCGCCATGAAACGCCCAAACACCAAAACCGCACAAAGCTAACATATATGCAGATCATCTTCACCACAAGTCTCCCACCACACTCACGGCATCCTATCCCCAACATACGCATGCTCCCCGCCCACACTAACAACCCACACCTTCGGATCGCCCGCATTCACCTTCCCGCTCTGGTCCTTGCCCCCATCGGGCTGCACGTCGTCGTACGCAAACGCATACCCCTTCCCATCGAGATTGACCTCGTGCACCACTCTCGCGTAGTGATTCGTCGGGTCCCGCCTGTAATACGTCTCGTGCCCGCTCGGCTGGTCCGCCACCTCGCCGATGGTTGATCTCAGAAACCCCGCCGCGAGCCGGGGGATGATGGCGTTGCGCTTTGCGCTGGGGCCGGTGGTGAAGGGTCCGGTGTTGCACCCTAGGATGTCGGCCGTCGTGGGCTTAGCGAAGGACTCCCCCGCAACGACGAGGGTGTTGTTGGCGGGGCTGACGGAGCCCAACACGATCCCGGTCGCGGCCTGGGTGTTGATGCGGACCTGGCGCTTGCCGATTTGGCTGTGGTATTGCCGCCAGACATCCTCGACGTAGGGCTCGTAGTAGCCCGCGAAGGAGGCGCCTACGGCGTCGCCGTGGGTCGGGTTGAGACAGCGGAGGGGTGGTTGGTTCGGCTTTGGGCCAGGGACGATGAGCTTGTCCCAGGGGCGGTGGTCCTTTTGCGCTTGGGCGCGGAGAGCGGAGCAGAGCTTGTCCAGGCCGTTGGCCGGCATGCCGGCGACGTGCTGGACGGCGCCGGACGTGGTCTGGAGGGTCAGGGCGACGGGGAGGCGGGGCACGAAGTCGACGTAGCTGATGTTGGCGAAGAGCTGGTCGTTGTTGAGGGTGAATTCTGCGAAGGCGAAGTCGACCTTGGCGTTGGGGTCGGCCGGGTTGAGGACGCTGGGCTCGACGAGTGAGGGCCCAGGGTTGAGGAGGAAGGTGAGCTTGGCGTCGCGGGCGAACCAGATGCGGCCGCCGGCCATTTGGGGGATGTGGATTGATTTCTTGGAGCCGGGGGGTCCGAGGGGGATGGCGACGTCTTCGGTTAGGGGGGACATGATTTTGGCTGGGGAGGAGGGGAAGTAGAGGTCTCGCCCGTTGGACTTGAGGAGGACGCGCTGGCCTTGGTGGGAGGGGAGGAGGGAGATGCCGGTTACGTAGGCGTAGATCTGAGAGGACCGGGAGTCATTGTGCAATTGGATTTCGAGGGATTGAGGCATCTTGAAGGGACCTGGGGGTTGTTGTTCTTGTTGTTGCTGGGGAACTTCTGGTGGGCGCGGGGGTATTGCTGGTGGTGGTTGACCTGGTGTGAACTCTGGTGGTCTGGGAGGTATTGCAGGTGGCTGGCTTGAACGTAGTTCTGTTGGCTTTGGAGGTATTGGCGGCGCTGTGTGCAGTTTTGCTTCGACTTTTGCTTCGAACTTGGACTTGAGCTTGTTGAACATCGTGTCTGATGTTGAGGTCGACGTCGTGGGTTCTTATACTTCCTGTCTACGACGAGTATGGCCAGACAGAGGGCCAGTGCCAGTCAGAGCTATCAAGGGGGTCAAATGAGCAAGGCTGAGACGTCCAGCAGACATGCAGTAGGATCTTGAGGGGTGGTGAGAAGCTATCACCGTCTCGGAGTTGAAGTGGCTCGATTCGGTCTCCCTTACTGATGTTGTATGCGGCACATTTAGAGTTGTGCGCTATATCTGGAGTGGCGTCATTGACAGTGCACTGCGCACCTCGATATAGCGCTATAACCTTGCTTTTCCCAGAACATCGCCAACTTTTCCAACGACATCAAACAC